TTTTTCCTTCGAGGATTTTGTTTGCGCCCTGTATGTGGGAAAAGTGTTGGACTTCGCGAACTATGCCGATGAATCTCTTGTTGTACATAGTCTTCCGGTCTTGGATCGGCCGGTCATGGATCGGGCAAGACAGTGCTGATCACAGGGATGGTAACCCTGAGGGGACGTGTTCGTGGCTTGAAAGAAAGCCTGACGAACTCGGGCATTAACTTTTGTTGAGAAGCACGATGACCACCAGACCACCAGTCAGCGGCTGACTGGTGGTCTAGTGGTCATCGTGCTTCTCAACACTTGCGGAATTTGCCGGTCAGGAAGCCGCTTTGCAAAAATCAACGGCGCCACAAATTCTTGTAGTTTTTTTTTTCGGAATCAGAAACCAATCCGAATTCCCCAAGAGCCAGCCTGCCTACATAGTGATTTGGAACCGAAATCGCAATTGTTCTGCATCATCTTCACAGCAAGAACTCTGTATTTAGCGGTTATGTAACCATCCGCTGAACCAGCAGTTGCAATAACAATGGTTACGAACTGCTTACCGGCGGGAGGGAACAATCCCCTTTTTTGCGGAACATGTGCAGTGTCAACGCTCATCGTCAGAGAATCATGTGTTGCATGTCTCATTGCAGCAGTCCCATGTACGCAGGTCACATGAAGAAGTGACCACCCTATGGGAGTCACCACGGCATGTATGCATTTCAATTACAATATCAAGAGAGCTTGTTCTTTCTTCGAGACGCTTTTCGAAACGTATAGTCTGCGTCTCACTGAAGTTCTCTTGAGGTATGCATACATACGTTGTTTTGTTTCCGGCGTACTGAACAACCTGTTGTCCTGATATCACAACATGAATAGTACACGTTGTAGGCCAGATAATTAGTAAACAGTGAGCGTACTTGTTATTTTTTGCATGCGTCACCCATGGCCAATCGTTCCTTCCTGCTTCGCCAAAGGTGGCTCAATAATAACTGTCTCCCTATCTATCCTATCCATATCACTTCCCGCCTTTTCAACCCACTTCCTATTCCCCAGTACAGCTACCGTCTTCTCCTGGCTATTCCATGCCTCAAACATCTCCCTGCACCTGCCCGGCTCATGTTAGAGGTGTCGATAATACGATTGCGGATGGTATTTCACGATGAGAGCCGGAGTCAATTGACGCACGTCTTGTTCCTTTTTCCCGGCTCAGTAATGTACACTTCCCTCTCCTTCTTGAACAGCGGACATGTTGCAACTACATGAACACGATCTTCGCACTCGGAGCCGCAATCACATTTGAACTTGTCGTCTTTATCGTCTACCTTCCTAAACCTTCGTCTACGCTCTTGAAGGCCTACGTCCCCGGTCCTGAATTTGACCTTAAGCTTTGTCCCTGCATCCATTGGTCCATGTAGGTAATCCTTGAACCCTATTCCTTCTTCCAACATTCCGTACACTTCTAGACCCTCCTTATCCTTGTTTGTTTTGTTAGTTCCTGTTCTTCTCTGTAGGCAAAAGCAACAGATATCTTCGAACCCCTCTTGACCTTCCGTTTCCAGCGTTTCACCTTCGTCGATTTCAAACCCCTTCCATACGTAATGGGGGGCGGGGACAAAAGCAGTGACAACCATGAATGCAACGGTTCGACAAGGCACGGCCCCCATAAAGAAATGAGAAGCAGGGAAATATTAACCCACCCATACGCGCCTCTACGGCACGTGGGGCAAATTCTTGAAAACGCAATGATGTCCTCAGTGACTTGGCTTCTGCTACTTTGTCACGAGTATCGATCATGCTTGACCCAACATCTCTCTGATATCTGCTTTGGGGCGTTGGTACAAGAGGCGTGCGCTACGAGGAACGGTATTTTTCTTTTTTTTAGTGCCTTGCGAGCATAGTGCCCTGCCTCGCTCATGCAGTGCCGCGCACTCTTCAAGTTGTTCACAACGCGGCACTAGCTCCGAGTATCGCGGCGGTGCCATCACCTTCCTGCCCTCCCCTCTGTCGGGTTCTTCCGCGCCATCTAGCTCTAACTCGTCGTCGGAAGGGTTGCCCTCCTCCACGTACGTCATTCGTGTCCTTCCGCAAAGCTCGGAGGATGTCGACCTGATCCTCCAGCTCCGCCCCAAGCCTGAGCCGCTGCGACGGTTGTGCAGGGGGGGGGCAGGGATACCAGGGGTGATGCTTAGGCGCGTCGACACCTCGCACAACTCCGAGTCGTTCACGTGGTCTCCATCCACCGCCGCCGTGGTGCTGAGCATATTCAGTGCAGCCGTGAGCTCCGCTACACCGTGCCACGAGCGCCCGGGGTCTCCGCAATAAACGTTCCTATAACAATCGCTACAAACTGGTCGCTGAAAATAGCTCTAACAACCGCTACTGGGGCACGACCGGATTATTTGCGGTCGTACAACCGCTAATAAACTGGGTTGCAGCCGTGCCACGATTTTGTGGAACCTCTATACAGGGAACTTCGCTTGACAGAGGGTACCGCGAAGGCGGGACCACTACTGCCAAGTAGATCGCTGGTTCGGCTGCGGGGACGGACGTGGACTGCCGGAACATTCGACTTCGTCCCGGTGGCTGATTGGGGCAACTGGGTCGGGTCCGTGACCATGATTTGAGTCCAGCTTGTAATCACCCAACGTCATCTGTGTTTTTCTTGGTCTCGCTGAAAAACTCATCACCCATCCGGAGCAAGTAGCTTCGCCCAAGCTTGCACGGCCAGAAACGTTCTGGCCAGGGGGCAGATGATTTGATATTCGAACCCATCGCTGAAAACGCGTCTCCACGAACAGGTAGTTCTGTGTTTTGGTTTGTTCTTCGAATTTCACCTGCACGCAAAGAAGAAGTGTGCCAAACATTTCCCATTCGTCAGGTTTTTCCAATGTTTTTTTTTCGTTGGAGTGAAGTTTTGATGCCCAAGAGGTGTGTCGTACATGTTTTATCGCGGGGTACTTTCTGTTATTGGGATGCCCAGCCACGTACAAGCGGAGTCGTTCGAATCGTGCGGCAATGCTTCCTCTTTTGCAAAGCAAGTTTTTTTCTCTTTTTTCGACAGTGAATGGATGGCGTTGTTGCCTCGTGTCTATTGGATACCCACCCGCAATCGTCTTTCGAAAAGAGTGCGGCATACCGTTCCTCTCCGAGTCCCTCGAGTTTTCCGGTCGTTTCTGAAGAGAAAAATCTCAACCTTGAGAACTATCCAATGTTCACCGATGCGGAGGTTGCCCACATTTGTTGCGGGATTTTCGCTCCTGGTCATGTTGAGTCGAAGCAAGGCAGTCATGGGTGTTCGTGATTTTTGTTGCAAGTTCAGAGCCAGAGGCAACGGCAAGCCCTCGACCAAACGTATGCGCACGCCCCTCTTCCCCTCGACGACCCATGTTCGGTTCAACTTGGGCCCGACCGCAGCTTCTCTGTGGTAGAAATCCGGCATCGGGCGCCGATCGTTGTAATTGGTAATTTTAATTCAAACCCGCCCACGCTTATTCCTCACCCCGGTATATTTTCTCGGACGAGCCCCAAGCTCGTGTGTCTTGAGAATCAACCGTACTCCAGAGCATACAAGAAGGGCACAAAGTTGTTGGCATTCATGGCGATGGTAGTGTTTCTGAAGTCGTGATGCAGACGCAGATATGCACACAACCAAGGAGGACCCTTAACCCTGGTGTTTTCGCACATTCTATCGCATACATGGAAGTTCGACGCTCGCTATGCGATCACAACGCCTGACTAAATTGCGTCCCCAGGACACAGCTTGAAAACAACCTGAAAACAATCTCCGATGGTGCATCGCTATACCCATATCCGTTGGACAAGATAATGCTCACAAAAACAAGATGCGGCGAAAAAGCCGCAGCAGAAACAGTGTACCACCTAAGACCACCTAACACTCCGAATGCTATGTTACCATACTCGTGGTAAGAAACACAGTTTTTTTGGGCAGCAGAGTCAGACCGGTCCCATATATTCAGACATAGCAGCACTGCCTAAAGCACTCACCGTTGGAATTTTTATCTTCTTTGTCGCTTCAGTCTTACCCGGTCAATATCCGTGGGTGGGTGGGAGGATCTCTCCTTCCAAGCCCCTCCCGGCCGGGTCTCACACACTGGTCTCGAGCTATGGCGCACGTCTCGCTACCTCTCAGTCATGACTCGGCATGGAATCGCAACCTCCCCAAGTTTCAGCGGCTTCCGTCTCCTGTTCATAGGACTCGACTTTGTCTGTTCCGCCATCCGAACGGCGGTGGTTGAGCAGAAATAGAGGTCCAGTGTCGATTCACGAAATTTTGATGCGGCTGGACATGCGCTTTTGAAACTTTTTCTGTGCGTCCGTCGTGCAGCATATTCATCTAGCAAAGCAAAGAGCTGCATCTCTAGAGGGGTCAAGGCCTGCTCGCGTAGCAATGCCCATCGTTCGGTGACAAACGTGCTTTGCATCTGTGGATGCTTTTTGCGGCTCATGCGCGATTGTTTTCGTATCTTGGTGAGAAACAGGTGTGTGCTGCAAAAAAAGGAGGCGGGTGGTATGTGTTGTACCCAATTCCTCATACTCGTTTAGGTCTCTGTCTACGTTGTATATTATGGGGTGTAGAGGCCGCCCGATGCGGAACGACACAGGCGGACCCCAAAAAATGGTGGGACCGCCTTCGCGAAAGGTTAAGTTTTCGAGGAAATAGAACAGGGAGGGCGTACGCAGACTCTATTCCTTACCCTAACCCTTACCCAAATTCCCCGAGTGTATGATTATCCAACATGTTTACTTCAACGAAAAACCCTGGACAATGGCTACTGAAACTGTCACTATATCTTGGCCTGCACGATTCTTATCGCATGAAGTGTTTTTGTGACGAGCAGTCTCTGGTTTGAAAATCGTCACAGTTCGACACCCAACTCGAGACCCCCTGCGATGATGGCGGGTTGTAGTTGTCAAAACGAGAGCTCGCCCTTTTAGCTCGCTGATGCGCCCCTCCCGCTTTGTTTCCCTCTTTGCGGCACCAGGGCCTGTTCATCTGCACCAAAATGACGATGGAGGTTGCGGGATGGCGTGACCTCGACTGGGGCCAGGAAGCTGTATCGCTATCGTCCCTGCCGACTCTGGCTGGAGGATCCAGAACGATCTCGGAATGTGTGAGGATGGTGCCCCGACCAACGCGGCTGTACGAAGCGGGACCAGCGCTTTTGTTCCTGTACGGGAGGAGGAACCGGTCCTTCAAAGGAGTGCTGGTGTGCCTGAACTCCAGCACGGACGGGGGCGCATCTCCACACTTGAATGTTTTGGAGCTGACGCCTCTGGCGATTGGGGTGGGTGAAGCGACCATGGGCTTTTTCGAGGGGTCACACGAAGCCTGGGACCAGTTTCTGGTGGAGGGCGGCGGTTCACTCGTCGGCAGGTGTCCTAGTCTTGGGTGCCGTGGCTTGGCAGGCACGGATCTCACGTTGATATCAAGGCCGTGCTCCGGGATTCGGCACTCGGTCCTAGAGGGACGCGGTGACGTGCAGATGCCGGTATCGTTCTTACCAAGGTTTACGACTATTGGAACCTTACAAACGGCGCCAGCCTGGGTGCTAGGTACATCGCCGGAGGATGGAGTCCCCGACACGGTGGAACCGTGGGAGGGCGAGGATAGTGCTCTAACAACCGACGAACCAGCGGCTAATGCTCGATGGGTCCGACGAAGGAACTCAATGACCACCCAGGAAAACGGCGTGACTGACGTGTACAAGGGAGATGTATCGTATGTACCCTTGGCGTGGCTCCGTTGCTCGCCTATCGCAAGTGACTGGATTGCAGGATCAATACTGTGCGGACTGCAGTCTAAGTTCGGCAGACTGATCGTAGTCGTCTACACCTCGATGGCCACCGCCTGGGTGTGGTTCGAAGGCGACAGACGCGAGTCATCGGTTGTGATGGCAGCATCCACGTTCTTGTTGGGTTCACTGTTTCTGTGGAATTACCAAGCGGTGGCTAGAGCCATTTCTCCCTTCGGCAACACCCGCGACCAGTTGATTACTCTGATATTGGCGTCGCTGTCCTTCTTCTACTCCATCCTCGCCGGACTGTACCATCCTAGGGGAATGCTTGGCGGGGAGGTGTGGTGGCCCACTATTGCGATTGTGCTTCTAGTTTGTCTTCTGTCCGCCACGGCCCGGGAATGCCACCGGCGCGATAGGAGGGTCGACGCCAAGTCGTGGGTCTCTCTATGCCGTCGGGCGGCAGTGGATTTCCAGGAGGTTGGGATGCCTCTTCGCGAGGTGCTGAGGGGCTCAGGTGCTGACTCCAGGGGCTACTACGGTACCATAGGTGGTACGCAACGTACTGTGAGGCTACAAACAAACACCCCGAGGGGTCAGCCGGTGACCTTGGAGAACTCGGGGTGGTCGCAGGGGGAGTTGTCCCTGACAGGAGAGGAGGCCTTTGCACGGTGTGGTGGCACCGACCCAACCTTGGACGCGTGGCTCGCCGCTTTTGTGGGGGAAGTGTTTGAGAACGCGTTCACTCTCTTCAACCAGGGCCCTGCAGTCGTCGGCAGGATAAACGCATGCTTGGCGGCGTTGGCTGCTACCACGTCCAAACCGCCCAGTTGGGCGGAGGGTATTGTGACGTTGTCGCAAGTCTACGCCCACGATGACAGGGAGCTCATTTCTGCAGCGATGGAGAGGGGATGGACGAGTGACGAATTCCTTCTTCGCCGGGTGGTGGTATCGGCTAAACCTGAGCGCACAATCTTGTCGCTTCCGGATGGATTTGCCCTAGAGGAAAACATCTTTCCGGTGCTGGTCAGACCGAAGGAGTTGATAAAGATCGCTCTCCGGGGATCAGACTACGGTCTGCTCACGGAACAGCCGAACAGGCAAGCGGGGCTAGCGATTGAGTCCCGTAGCACCTTGTACGACAGACTCTGCCTGCGGGGCATGGTTGGAATTCAGGACAGCTACGGATCGAACCATGTCGGGCCACTGGTGGTAGCCGCCCTCCTGGCCTGCTCGGTGGGTCCAGCATGGCAAGGGTACGCAGTTCAGGTTCTGCCGCTTATTGGGGTCTGCGGCGTTTGGCGTGGTTGGCGCTACAAAGTATTCGAGGCACTGTCTCGCGTGGTCGAGACGGCAAGAGGGCTTCTGTCAGACCAGGCTTGTGTGCTGGCAGGTTTGGTGGCTGGTGTGATTTCTTGGAACGTGATCGTCGTCGCGAGCGGTCAAAGCCTCGTTGGTTTCTTGGTTGGGGGCATTGTAGCGGCCAAGGTGACTCTGGTGGTCGGGGTGGCAATGCTGAGGATGGTTTACACGAAGCAGTGGTCGCCCGGGGTAGAGCTAGGGGGAGGGGACGATCAGATGGAGGGGCTCTGTCACCTCGCTCTGGAGGGACGACCTGTGCCATTTCAGTATAGGATGTTGGTTGTTCCAACAGCCACCTGTGCGGATCTCCCCGCATTGGCCCGAGTACATGTGGAAGCAGGATATTCCTTCAGCACTAGTGGTCAGGGACACGTGCTGGCTGTGGGGGGCCCAGCGCGTGGACGTACGTGAGGGCCAGTAGTGGGGGGCGGGAGGTCTGATCGATACTACTGGCAACAACGTAAGAATAGACTAATTTATTTATCAAATGCCGTGGATGTAGCAAGTTTGTTCCTTCTTCTCTCGAAGGGGTGGTGGTTCGCGGTGAATCACTTCGCGTAGCGTAAATCGGAATTGTGCATGTATTGTTTTTCCCGCTGAAGTGGACATTTTCTTGGGGTATCTCCGGAGTTGCGTTTCCCGGGGTATGAGTTTCAACGAGGAATGTTAGGAGGAGGATGGGGCTCTTCTTGCCGCAAACGAGGCCACGCCTCCCTCTAAAGTACGTCGTCACTGTCCGCGATCGCTTCCTTCGTGAAGCGGTGGACAACGGGGAATTCAGTAAGTAAGGTGGAGTACGAGCAGTCAGGGGAGAATCATATGCAGATATTCGACCAAGTCATTGCGGGGTTTTGTTGTACTACTAGTCTACTCTACTCATCATCCATTAGCCAATCGAACACGGCTTTTTCTAGGTGCTCATGCACAAAAAAATATTTTGCCGAGTTTTAGGCATTTAATCGGTAGGTAGATGTGGCTGTCTGATAGGCCTGCTGTTGTGTGGAGGTTTTGACCGCCAAAATCGCCTGTTCTTGTGTCCTTTGTCTGTGTAGACTGCATTGGCTGGAAAAGGTTTGGCTCGGTAGTTCCTTGGTTAAGACAATTTCGGCTAGAACATGTGGGGTGGTGTTTTGTAAACATTCATGCAGGATCCGATGTCGGCATTTACGCCGCAAGTGGGGAGGGTGCTAAGATAGGAAGTCCGTGGGGGCGTTTTAAACCTGAAAGAGTGTGGCTAAGAGTTATTTTTTGTTTACATGGAGAAAGTATTTGCTACCGTCCGTGCGGATTTGCTGTATAGGTCTAAGTGAGTGGGACGTTTGATTGCCTGAAACCCCTTGAAAATATCGAGGCAGGGCGGTGGAGTTGTTGCCGTTGTGACTTGTACACATTGTTTCCGATGGAACTCAGCTGATGATGTGATCCCATTTGTAGTCGAGAGTGTCCCGACCGTCACGACTGGGGGAAGGCGCATGACAGCAAAAGTTGCGGAACACGTTCGAAGATCATGAGTTTCATGTTGTATTTGGTGTCTGAACCGTGAAGATTTGGAAAACCTCGTTCGTTGGGTGACGATTTTGAGTATTTTTATTTTCTTCTCATGTATGATTGTGTTGATGTTGAACTATTAATAACACATAATGAGTCTATGGAGACACGAGAATGTGCTTTGGACTACTATGCGTTGAGGGCTCCATACACATCATACGTATGCGACTCATGACGTATTTCCGCGATGGTACCATCGTGTCGAGCATAAGAGCGCTCACGGTGGTACTCAGGTGGTCCATACCTACCTATGGAATGGTTGCGTATGGCGCTAGGGGAGCGGCCCACCCAACAACGTGGGCGGGAGGGCCAAAGGTTGACGTCATGTAGCGGAGAAAACTCGGGATAGTGGATGGCATTGTATATATATTCGGGATCGACGTGATTGATCGCAGATAGGGTCGGCGCGCTCTCCTGGGAGAGAGGGTTTCGTTTGTTGGTTTTCTTTGAACTGGTCGTCATGCTTATCGCGCTTGCGACGGCCAACATCCTAGTCGATGGGCACCACGAGAGATGCCTACATACCTGTGTCACCATCGATACGTGGGCGCGGTGATAGACCAGATAGGTTTAAGGTAATGATGAAACTACGTAGAACTGGTGTCGCTTCGTTTTAATCCCTTCGCACGGAACTTATGTAAGCGAAACAGCGTGGGAGTCAATGCACCCAAGCGATCGTCTGGGAAATATCCCCCTCGGATTGTCGTGGCGTTGTAGATTCACTTCTGTTTAGTGAACCGCTTTTTCGATTTCGACACCGGGTTGGTCCCATGCCGAGGTCGACTAGAACGGAGAGAACTTGGTTTTTTTCAGCTGTTGGATGCGACCAAGTTTCTGCTCCGAATCTTGTAACACGCGTACTACAACCGGCTTAACTTTCGCCTACGCCTTCCGTGGTCAAAGGGCAACTACCCACGGAACGGGAAACCTTAAAACAGCAAACACCATCACAAACAAACGCAATACTAGAGTCGAAACGGAACGAAACCACAAAAAGAGCGAAAAGCCCCCAGACAGTCTAACGTTTCTGGCGATACGCAAAATCTGGCAAAGGAGATACAAAACAAATGTAGCACCACATGGAACCCATCGCTCCAGCTCGGCAAGCGATGCTCGACAAAATAAACCAAAGAGAATCAACGATCACCGGCAAGGACAACAGATATTCGCACTGTAAAGCAACGTGTATTCACCGCTGGGGTTGGATGGGCCATGCCATTTTCACACATACGAGACGAATAGGTATGGAATTCAAGATCAAGACAATACAGGCCACAACCTGCATGCTCTATTTCAACTACAACAGACACGTAAAATAACCTCTGAGAATCATCACGCTTATCAAAACACCTGGTGAACCAAGGCGAACCACCGTGATTTCCTCGAGCTCTAGACAACAGCGCGCACATTCAACATTTACATCCACCCGAACCACTAAACACGAGCAATTCACGTCGAGGAGGACGAAAGTCTGCGAATGACGGAGGCCAATTCATGGTCACACTCTAAAACCTGTTTCAACAAGCGCTGAACACAGCCAATCCTGGCCCACTACAATGTAAAACGTAAATATATATTTCTAATACTCCGTGGAGATGCTCGCGACAGAAGAAAGGCGGCGCATGGAGGAACCGAGTGCCATTGCGATATACTACGTGCCACATCTCCTCCTCTCTTCCTCTCAACATCGGCACCCTCGGCCCGCTTTCTCTCTCTCGGGTAGTTGAGCAAAGGCAGTTTCTCGCTCGTTCAACCGCATGCACCTCGTCGCGCATCTGTGTCTGGGCTGTTCACTTCCACAACATGCAGTTAAGGTCGAGGTGCCGCTAAAGAACGTGGGAATCTATCGCGTACACATTCCCCCCCTCCCCCAACAATATAGGTGGTGCTGACCAATCAGCGTCGAGAACGACGAGCTCCGTACCGATGCACTGGTCGTGACTCAAACTGTTCGACAGTCTGGCTTCTCTGCTCCAGCCACACTGGTAAGCCCGGGTCGTGCGAAAACCAGCCTCTTCCCGAACCCCCGCACCACCCCTCTGCGGTGCATGCCTGTAAAGTTGCATGTGGACGAGCGCGAATACGACCTACCAAACTCCAACACGTTCATGTTGTCCTTCAGAATAAACGTTACAGAAAACTTGCGCACTCGCGTGCCGTGCGGTACTTCCCGTAATTCAAGCCGGGATATGGGGAGGGTCTCCGCCGCCCTGTGACCCTTCCTTGCGTACAGAGCAACAGGCAGCAGCTGCTCTATGGCAGCAGCCACGCGTGCAGCTTCAGGATGTCCATGGAGCCAACAACGAACCATACAACACTATTTATACTCAAAGCTGCGGTCCAGGAAGACATTCGGAAACTCCCGCCACAATCCGAGATGGTTCTCAATCCAACACCTGCTGTGGTTGCAACGGAGCAGGACCGAACTTGAGCGATAGCTCTCTGAAGACCGTGAACCCAACCATCGCGCTGAGGCCGCGGAACCGCTCACAAACTCTGTTTTTTCTCTGGGTTGACCGGTTCAGTCCATGTCTGTTGAGCCTGCCCAAGAGAAAAGCACGAAAAGACATGGGTAAGTTGCCCAGAAACGTGGGACGCAGAAAATCGTTGTTGAGGACATGTATCCCCTGCAAGTGCGGTTGGTTTTTCAGGCAGGTTATCCCGGAGAAAGATAGTGGGGCCCCTCTGGTTCGTGACAGCCTCGACTATTCGCCGAACTCGAACCGCTCGCGACAGACGATCACGACCATGCCCAAAGCAATTGGAACTTGAGCGCCCACTCCAAGAAGTTGGACTAGGGTGCATGTCGCTCTTGAAATAGTACATATTGATCTATTTAGGGACATGAGAGACACACTTACCAGAGCACATTTTATTAGTTTTTGGTTGTTTCATTCCGAAGCCACCGCCGTCGCCACAAGTTCTGCGCCTGTAGTGCCACCACCGTTGGTCGAAGCCGATGTTGGCCACAGTTTGCTTACGCTGCTATTGCGGCGCACCCTGCGCGACACGTCCGACACGCTCCGCACCCTTTCCTCCTCTGGAGCCCATTGGCCGCCGACATCAAGTGCTGTTTTGGCTCGGTTCGCTGCAGCAGCCGGTTCGCGCTCGTGGTCGCCGCCGCCGCTGCCGCCGCTCCTTCTCTGGCTGTCGTGCCTTGCTTCTGCCCCCACCTCTGTCTTTGGTGCTGTCGTGATTTCGGTCGTCCTGCTCTGGCACACCTGCTGCGACCATGACGGCGCATCTGCCGCCCCCGACGACACCAACCCCGCCGTCTCTCGCCGGAGTGCATCGGCGATGATTTCCCTCTTGCTGATGATCGCCTGGTGCTGCTGGCAACGATGCCCACTGCAGCGTCCACCAACGCCACCGCCACAAGTGGAAGTATCATCCGCAACACCGACGGCAGAAGTAGTCCACTCTGGAGCCCTGCTGTGGCCTTCGCTGTCGGTTTCGTCGCTCTCCTTTGATTTGAGGACGCTGGCCACGAGAAGCGATTCTGGCGCCGGACGTGAACATCTGGTTCCCTCCGACGAATCCTGCTCTGTCGGCACCTTGCTGCCTCGGCCAGCTTTCCCCCCCCGCGCCGAACCCCGAGCCTCACCGTTGGGCGGCGCCGAAGCCACGCCCTCGAATAGATCGGGCCCACGACTCTTCCTGCGGATTGAACGCCACCTTCGCTTCGCCAGGGCGAAGTAGGTGGGAGAGGACGTCGGACGAAGCGGCAGCGGCAAGGAGCTACTCCTATCCAACGGTGAATCACACCCGGGCGAGGGACAGGAGAAAGAGGGAGCAAACAGGCGGTTGCTGTCGTCGCGCGCGGCAGAACCTCTGCCGTTTCCGGTCTCGTTGCTCCTGCTTGGAAGTCGAGTGCCGCTGAAGGCGCTCGCTGGAGTCCTCGACGATAGCTGCGACCAGGAGTGGCGGCGGTTGCTTTTATCACGCCTCCGGAGGCTGCCGCGCCTGCCACCCGGTGCCGCCGTTGACTCGTAGGAGGGCCGCTTCCGCCTGTCCTTTGTTGAGAGCTCCGCGTAGATGATCTTGAGGACTGTGACTATCTCCGCCGCCACCGGTCTCTTGGCGTGGTCGGCGTGCCAGGCGGAGGCTAGCAGGGTGCAAAGTCGGTTGGGCCAGCTCCTGCGGACCTCGGGGCGGTCTCCACCCTTGATCACCCTCTGCTTGCCGAATAGTTGTTGACGTTGGCGGAATAGTACACCGACGAGACGAACAAGACGTCAAAAAAGGTTGGGGGGAGCGAAGGACGCCGGGGAAATGGGGTCAATGGTGACAGGCGTCATTGTCCATTTGTACTACACACCGGAAACCACCTGTAGCTGATCATCGCCATGGATTGCTTGAACGGGAACGCGCGATCTGCCAGTGAAACCTTACGCAGGCGATCGATGTAGTGCTAGCGGTGTCCCTCGGCGTATTCCATTTGTTCCACATCCAAACGAAACGTCGGGTACGATAGATCGCCCGTCTGGTGAAAGGGCTGTTCTCGACGCGCACCTTGATAAAAGTAGCCTCGCTCATGTCCGAGTATGGCTTCTCGATGGCCAAAATCTCCCAGCTGAGGATAGCCCAGCTGTAGATGTCCACCTTAACGTTGTACGGCTCGTGTTTCACGAGTTCGGGTGCCATGTACCTGTAGGACCCCACCTCGCCAGTCATCTGTCGACGGTGCACGGGATGACGGAAGGTGGTTGGCTCGCACGCACAGAATACTCTCGTGGGCGTGGGCTTCAATTGTTGCTTTCATCCAACTGGTCATATCTGTCTAGCGCCGACGGAGGCGACAAAGAGATTAATGGCATCCAGGGGCCGTTTGACATGAACGCTGTGGGAGAAAGAGCCAAAACGACGAGTGGCGTTTCGAAACAGTGGAGGTGTGGTTATCGGCGTCCCACTTATTCTGGACGTCGGTTTTGCACTGTTCGGCATGTTTGGACGCACCAGCCCGGGTCATTCGGGAGGGAGGCCACGCCACACAGGAGCATACTATTATCCACCTTCCTATGCATAGTGCGGTGGTTGCCTTAGCTTTATCGCGGGAAGGGTTCAGCCGTCTCGTTACCCTCATTGAGCGAGAACGTCGAA